TCAGTCAGTGGATCTTAACTCAAATACCTGCTTTGTACCCAACCTTGTGCTAAGGAGAGTTCAGAAAATGACTATGGTGGGTGTAGTCAACTGTGGTTTCGAGAATCAGTCTAGTGAAAAACAAGGCAGAATGGACTCTAAGCTATGACCTTATATGGTACATGTGATGAGGCCCCAGCTCCTTCTCTGGGTGACTCCAGAACTCTTCTGGTCTGTCTCTACACATTTCTTCTGCCACCTTTGAGCCCACCCTACCCAGGCCTCCTTATATTTTGTTTTTTTGGTGTTTTCTCTGCTTGCATGCCTGTCCATTTAGGGATTCTTGCACTCACAGCAGAACTGATGCCTGTGACTCTGTATCATGTACACACACAGGCCATGGACCTGTCTCTGACTTTTTCTTTTTTTAATGTTCTCTATTTTTAAAAAGATTTTATTTATTTTTACACAGAAGGGAAGGGAGGGAGAAAGAGAGAGAGAGGAACATCAGTGTGTGGTTGCCTCTCACCCATCACCGGGGACCTGGCCTGCAATCCAGGCAAGTGCCCTGACTGGGAATCAAACCAGCGTCCCTTTGCTTCACAAGCTGATGCTCAATCCACTGAGCCACACCAGCCAGAGCTCCTTTTTTTGTGTCCCCAGTGCTTAGCACAGAGTAGGCATTCAGCTATCTGTATGAACTCAAAACCACCCTCTAATCCAGACCAGATGGTTTCTTCATTGTGGCACTGACCCTACTTTTACTTACAAATAATCTCCTCCAACGAATTCAAGACATCTCAGTTCCCCTTGCCCACTCCCCACCCATTTCCAAGAAGCCTTCCACCACCACTCTAGCCCCGGTTGAGCTCACCTTCCCCTGGTCAGTCTTCCGGGATACCTTTTGGCCCTTGGCACATTTTTCCTCATGCTATCTGGGTGACCAGCCTTCAGAGTTAGCCTGGGACTGAATTATTTTCTGAGATGCAGTACTTTCAGTGCTAAGAAAGGGAAAGGCGTGGGCTGTGATACACAGAACTCTTATTGGATTATCTCTTAACCCGATATTGAGCTCCTAGAGCAGTGGTTCTCAACTAGGGGACACTGGCAATTGTCTAGAGACACTTTTGGTTGTCAAAATCTGGGTTGGGGTGCTAGTGGTATCTTGTGGATAGAAGTGCTAAAAATCCTACAATGCACAGGACAGCCCCTACAACAAAGACTTACCTGGCCCAAAATGTCACTAATGTTGAGGTTGGGCAATACTGTCTGTCCTAAAAAAACCCCCACAAACACTCTAGCTCTTTTAACGCCTAGTGTAGGGCTGGGCATATAGATGGTCAAAATGAGAAAAATGGTATCTGGGCAGGCTGGAATATCAACGAAGACTGGTTTCCAAGAGGCTGGGCATATGGCTGGGAGAACATGCCCACCAGGGTCAAGATTCCTGTGGTCATGGGCTTCCCCAGGACTCCCTGGCTAAGTGGGTCTGTGTATATCAGTGAATATCCCTAAGTGACTTTGGGGTACTCTGTGACCCTCAGTGGCTGCTGGGAACAATGTGGAAGATATCTGTGGGGAGCTTTTGCTGCAGCTGCACCAGCAGTATCCAGGTGATATCGGATGCTTTGCCATATACTTCTTGAACCTGCTTATCCTGAAGCCGGGGGAAGCCATGTTTTTGGAGGCCAATGTACCCCATGCCTATCTGAAAGGAGGTGAGCCACATTTCAGCAGGAAGCCCTATTGCATCCCTTTTGGGCCTTGTTTCCCCATCTAGACAAATGAGGAGAGGGTGGTCGAGGAGACCTTTAAAGTCCCATCCAGTTCTCACCTCCCGGGGTCAGCACAGAAGCAGCCAGTGAGGACAGTGAATGCCAGGTTGGTGTCAAGACACTGTTTGAATCTTCACACTAACTCCACAAGGTCATGATACTCTCATGTTAAACCCTGTTGATGTATGGGAACCACAGTTCAAACCTAGGCTATAACTGGATCAAGGCTGCTCTCTCTGTACTCATCAGATGGCTCAGTTGAGACCATCTTCTTGATGCACCAAGGTTGCAGGTTTGATCCTTGGTCAGGGCACATACAGGAATCAACCAATGAATGCATCAATAAGTGGAACAAATTAATGTTTCTTTCTCTAAAAATTATTAAATGAAAAAAAATTAACGGCAGCTGTTCTCCCCCCTGCATCACACTGCCTTCTGTCCTATCAACCCAGAGATTTCACATTAAATTACATGTGGCCACAGAAAGGTGCTGCATTTTGACTGTTGGCCATTTATCCATTTATGGCCAGGATTTTGTGGGAGAATTAGAGTCTGAGAAGGGTTGGGGCTCCCCCAAAGGTGAACATGACTACCCCTGACAATAGTGGGTGATCTGTCCCATGTTTTTGGCGTCTGGTATTTTAGCTCATTTTCCCAGAGAATGCAGTTCTAACTGCAAAGGGTTTGTGGTGCTCAAGTTAGGACCAGCCTTGGAGAGCCTAACACCAAGGCATTCTTCTTTAGCTAATAAGTGACAATTCTCTGTTCCCAGACTGTGTGGAATGCATGGCGTGTTCAGATAACACAGTACGTGCTGGCCTGACACCCAAGTTTATTGATGTGCCAACTCTGTGTGATATGCTCAGCTATACTCCCAGCCCCAGCAAGGACAGGCTCTTTACTCCAACACGGAGTCAGGAAGACCCCTACCTTTCTCTCTATGACCCCCCTGTACCAGACTTCACAGTTATGAAGATAGAGGTAAGTAGGAGTCCATGGTGGGTCTTTTTTGTGAGGCATGAAAAACTCTTGCAAAGGCCACGTGTACTATACCTAGGGCTGAGTCTTTCTGTGAAGCTCTTTTGGTGAGATGGTCACAGGACCTGCCCACTCTTCTCTGTACCAGGCACCAGATGTACGCCTCCATGCCTAAGAGCGAGATATGGGAGAGAAGGCAGCAGAGTGCTCCCTCTCACTGCCCTTGCTGTTCTATGCCTGTGAGCTATAGGAGCAGAGTCTAAGCTGCACCATTTTGTTTCTTCCTGCCCAGGTCCCTGGCTCGGTCACTGAATACAAGGTCTTGGCAGTGGACTCCGCCAGCATTCTCCTGATGGTGCAGGGCACAGTGACAGCCAGCACTCCCACAGCCCAGGCAGTAATCCCCCTGCAGCGTGGTGGGGTACTCTTCATTGGGGCCAATGAGAGTGTTTCACTGAAGCTCACTGTGCCTGAGGACCTGCTGCTATTCCGTGCCTGCTGTCTGCTGTAGAGGCTACAGCCATCCTGGCTCTCCTTCCTAGTCACCCTAAATCCTGGCCAGCCTTACCTCCTTAGGCCCAGCCCAAACTCCTTCCCCGCTCTAAACTCTTGAGGTAGTGGCTCCTGAGCAGGCCTAGGCTGAACCATCTTCCTGGGGAGAGGGACTTATGTGAGGACTAAGGGCCAACACTCCACTTGCATTCTCACCGTACCTGAGCCAGACTCAATGCAGAAGAGCATCTGTTTTCACTGTAGTATTAGGCTGGTGAAATCTATGATTAGCTCAGCATCAGTTACAGCAAAAGGGTAGGTAGCCAATTTCTTTATTGATTTTAGAGAGAAACACTGATTTGTTGTTCCACTCATTTATGCATTTAGTGGTTGATTCTTGTGTGTATCCTGACCAGTGATCAAAATTGCAACCTTGGTGTAGCAGGATAATGCTCTAACCAACTGAGATACCTGGCCAGGACCTTAGGTAACTAATTTCTAAGAACAGGGTTCTTGCCTTAGGACTGCCCATTTCCTTAGCAGCTGAGAAGTGAAAGGGTAGGCATGTGGTCTAGTGTTGCTCCTTGTCACCCTCCTGCTTTGTCAAGGCAATTGAAGATCACTTGTGTTGAGGCTATGGGGTAAGAGGCACTGAGCCTTTTGGCAGCCCAGTCCCTGAAGTGGGTAGGCTGAACTCGAGAGCCTTTTATAGGAAGGTCTAAGACTGTTGGTCAGAATCTTCAGTGGCAAAACAGAGAGCTGTATAACCTCCTGAAGTGTGTTCCACCTCTATCTGAGAGGGTAAGCTCAGGAAGAGTATGTGCTCTCCTAGGTACTTCCTGCCAGTTTAGAGACGTTGCCCTTCATAAGGTGAATTTGATTGTCCTGTCTAATCCAGTCTAGCAGCCAGCTTCAGCCTCAGATGTAGAGAGCTTGCAGGCAGGCCTCGGGCCCTCCAGCCCTGCAGAGTAGAAAGTGGGTCTAAAGAGCAAGATTCTTCTCCAGGGTTAAAACTGGCCCTTGGGCAGGGATCAGCACCTAAGGCCAGAGGGCTGGGTTTGGCCGTGCCTACTATTTACAAACCACCTTGCCTGCTCTCAATTATAAAGTTGAGTAGATGTGCCAGACTGTACGGCCTGACTGGCCCTTCACAGAGAAAGTTTGTCAGCAACTTCTCTGGAACACATTCAGTCATTGTAGATACAGGGACAGGACAATCTAATTCACCTTGTGAAAGGCAACTTCTTCCAAGCTGGCACCAAGTACCTAGAACAAATACTCCCTGAGCCTACCCTCTCAGATAGAGGTGGACACACTCCTTCAGGTCACCCAGCTGTTTTGCCACTTAAAATTCTAACCAACAGTCTTAGATCTTATCACCCCAGACTAAGCAGAAACCCAGGCTATTGGTTCTTTCCTGGAGGCTACGGGTTTAGATTCTCATAAAACTGAATTCTAGGCAACTACGCATTTGGAAAAAGTTCTGGACAATCTGTTCTGGGTTTTGGCCCCCAAATTTCTTCACTACAAAAAAAATTATTTAGAAAGAGAGGGTCTGTCAAGGAGAGCTCATTCTGAGAAATGATGTGCAAAGACTGACTCCATCCATGGCCTCTAGTGAAGCAGGCCTAAAAATGATGCCCATTGGGAACAGCAAAAAGGAGAGGAGATCCTAGGAGGAATGGTCATTGGGGGGCTATTAAGCTATTTCTTCACTTCAGAATTCAGAAGGGGCAATGACTGCAGCTTGGGCCTTAAAACTTCTATTACAACAGAGACAGTTCAACCAGCATGACTGTATTTACTATAAACTCACAGAGTTGTGGAACTTTAAGCCAGGGGTTTTGTGGAATACTTGGTAAATGCCATCTACTACCACCCCCACCTGTACAGTGAGCCTGAATACACCCCTCCTCCCGGGGCACTGTCACAGCACATGAGGCACTCTCAATGAAGGTAGTTTGGCTCTGGGTACCTTGGTGCCTTTTGGTGAGAGTTTAGCCTGTGGCCCCAAACTGACCATTTTTATCCTGCCTCACTGCACACTGTCCCCCACTTCAGGTTCCTATAACCTCCCACAAAGGTAACGCCTCCCACTCAGGGTCAACTGACTCTCAAACACCCTCTCAGAGACGCAGTCAAATACCCTAGTGTTGACTAACTGCACCAATCACCTGGGGGGACCTTGGTCTTGTGATCCTATTGCTCCCCTTACCCCCAGCAGCTGCCAAATGCCCCACACTGAGCTGTCACAGCACTTTCTGGTCCCCACTGGGTTTCCCATTAGCCACTGTTTTCCTTTACAAGATCCTACCTACATCTGAGTTTTTTGTACATATTTCTCTACTGCAGAAACCAGAAAGGCCTGGATATAGCCTCCATGGGTGGGCAAGGGGTTCAGAATGGAGATGTCTTCAGTCCCTGAAAGCATTTGCACCTACTGCTCAGAATGTGGGGAACCTTCTGAGGTGTAGAGTTGCAGAGCCTCATTCCAGAATAGAATAACTACATGCTTCCCCCATCCTAGACCCTAACATGAGGTGCCTCTGGTCCCTGTTCCATCTCCCTCCTGCCATGACACTGCTAACTGGAGAATAAAAGTTAGCTACAGCCCCCTGGACACTATTCTCAGCTTTCTAAAATTTGAGAAAAGCACCAAGATAGATGCTAATCAAGCACTACTAGGATTACCCTCACAAGGGTAATCATATCTGACATATATGGCCTTTTTATCTGACATTCTCTTAATCAGCTCGTAGCAGTAGAGCAGGAAAGGCCATGCCATCCCTCATTAACCCCTAGTGGTCACAGGACATCAAACGTGTCAACAGACCAGGCACTTTCCCATATGGGGCCCACAATCCAATCCTGACTACCACGTCCCTTGGGCTGGGAACCCTACCTCACCACAGTTCTAGGTAAGGCAAAACAGAAACATTGTAAAACTAAATTCTAGGGAGAGGTGTGGTCTAGCAAGAGTAGGGGTCACGGGGGAGTGGGATTCACCTTTGCTGTGTTCACAAAGAGTTGAGAGAGGCTATGTTGTACCCAAAGGTTTACTGTAAAATGTCCGATCTCGAGTATCCACTGTGGCACATGCTGTGATCAGAGGAATCGGGAGAGCTGGACCCAATAGACAGTTTGTAACAGGGTGAAGGGAGGCCCTCTGCAATGGCAGATTATCTCCATTACCTTGGGACCTGACACAGGTGTCTACTCCCCATCCTGTGAGTCTCCGTCTAGTCAGAGCCCAGGGCCAGTATACTTCTCACCCTTTGCTACTTCTCCAGTTTAAAAGGTTAATTGGAAGGCACCTGAATGCTCCCTGCAGCTATCTCTGCTGGTAACCAAAATATGCAAACAGGCTTCCGGGACCAACATTTAACTAAAAGACTGAATGGAGAAACTTAGCAAAAACCATTAAGACATAAATATGTACATAGTGGAGCAGTTTTTCCTCTAACTAGGGCTTACCAGAGTCACTAAACCTAGGCAGACAATTGGATCAGTTGGGGATGCTCTGGGTCCAGGGATTCTGGAAGCCTTCATCCTGCTATGGCATCAAGCAAGCTGCTGTCCTCCCTGCAATAGTTATGCGCAACCAGAAGAGGGCCAAAGGGCTCCGCTTTATGCTGTCTTGACAGGGAAACATCTTGGAGTTAGGAAGAGGAGGAGAGCTTAAGGAATTTCTTTAACTGGTCCCATACAGTTTTCTTTTTTCCTAAAGATTTCCAGCTGCAAGCCACAAAGTGCTATTTTCTGCCTCCACATAACACCATCATGCACAACCTGGACACAAAAGCTTTTTTCCTCTGAAGAGCATGACTATAAATACCAATGATGTCTTCAAGAGTTTTTCTTCGTCAACTTTCTTGCAATTCTGCAAGAGCCAGAATTCCTATATTCCTGCCCTTATTAATGTGTTTTCACCAAACTCTGTTCCAGTAGCTGAGGACAACTGCAGAATTCCACATACCACCCTCTCACCCAGATGGGGGCCTCTGGCATGAGTAGCACCAGGTAGGGGCAACTATAGCTCACTGACTTCCCAAGTCTGTACCTCAAGTGATTCTGGGGCTGACAGCAGTTCCACTGTACTCTGTGACCTATGAAGAGCAGAAAAGGGTCCTGCAGGCATGGCAAGCAGGGTCCATTTTAAGGGGTTATGTCTACTGGAGGGTACAAGAGAAAGAATCCCCAAGACAGCACCAGGAGCAGGAGCACGTTGAGGAGGCCATAGGCTTGGGGGGAATGAGGTCCAAGTCCTCATCATCTGGAATCTCATCCAGGTGATACCCATCCTGGAGCAGCTGGCGGCTCACATCCTGGTTTACCTGCTAAGAGCAGGAAAGAAAACTATAAGCCAGGCTGCAAAGCAGAAATAACTGCTGCCCAAAATGCAGGCCCACATTCCCTTATCAGAGCTTTCTGTCAATGCTCCACCCTCAGGTCAATCCCACACATTCCTGGACTACAGGTGGAAGTGCCAGCTCTTCCTACCTGTGCCCCAGCCTGTTTCCTACCTGTGAGGGGCACCCAGGGGTCTGAGCCAGTACTGTCCGGGCTGCTTGTTATGAACCTCTGAAGGAGTCGCTTTCATTAAAGAGTACTGAGGAATCTGATGTAAATACCAGATTCTATATTATGTTTGAAAATCAATGCTCTGACCATTCCTACTGGTAACCCAGACTGGTGCCCGTGAAGGCTGAAGAATATGGGACAATAACAGAATGATGGGGTAGAAGAGTAAAGGAGTATAAATTACACAACAGGGTGGATAACAGCTGTGTCTGTAGTGCTGGTGAGACATACTGTCCTCTGATGCCAGCAGAGTTTGTTCCCTGCAAATGAGTCTGTCAGCCTGGCTCTACCAGTTCTGCTGAGCAGAAGGAAAGTCAGACTGGGAAAGGTGTAAGACTTACTTTAGCTCCCAGCTAATTTTACTTTCTTAGTTTTAACAGTCTTAGGCACCTAGATATTCAAGGAGGATAAAATCTACAAACTGCCTCTATTGTCTTTGACAGAAACTTGAGGGTAGCCAACGGTTTCTGGGAGAATAAGGAATACCAGTGGTGTACAGTCATGTCACTAGCACTTCACTTCTGTCAAAGGCAGAAGCTGCACATATCAGAACTTTACGTCTCTTGTTTCTGTCTGGGACAGTCACTCTGGAATTATGTCCAGAAGGCCAGCCCAACAGTATCCAAGTTCCCAGAGATGGAATGGTTGTTTGGTGTGGAAGAAAGCAAGCTTGGTGGAGATGACCAGAGGATGGAGAAATGCTGATCTCAGATAAAAGATAATCAGAAGAAGGGAGACTAGAATTACTGTGTGACACCGGAAGGCAGGCCTAGGACCACTGAGTCCAGGCCTCAGAAGACGTTTCAAATTAATATGGAAGACTTAGCTCTAAGAGCTACCTACAGGAGGAATTGTGCCTATGTCTTAGGGGGAGGACAGGCAGCAAGGTTTCTTAGAGGTAGTGAGTACCTGATTACAAGAAGCAACCAAGCAAACAGAGGCTAGTAAACACTTAGCTGGGATTTATAGAGAATTCCCAGAGAATATAGAGAATTCTAGAGAATTCCTTTTCTCAGTGGTGGCCTGTACTGAGACTTGTGAGATCATTTCCAACCCTACAGGTCTATGGTCTCCTGGATTTTCAAGAGCCCTCCTCAGACACCTATACCTCTGCTGTGGGAAGAGGGCAGAGTACAAGACTAGAGAACCAACTGGAAGTCTGGTACAGTGCTGTGCACACAGCAGGCACTACACAAGCATTTGGCAGTGGTGGTGACTGCTTGATGCATGGCCCCGCACAGGAAGGCATTCTGGACTTGCCTCTGCAGAGGAATACCCGGAAGAGTATCTGGATTCCAGCTCCCCATCACTGGAAGAGGAAGACAATCAATTCAGGAGGATACCTGTGGAGTACAGCTGCAAATGGCAAGGTGGAAAGCATGCAAGGGGGTCTATAGGACTTATGATTCCCCGGGCAAGACTGATACTCCAAGTCCAAGAGCAGCATGAGTCCTCTAAGTCCTCTAAGCAAGCCATCTTGGGAAGGGATAGTGACCCAAAGAAGACAGCTCTGGAACATGCATGAAGCATCTTGGAGGAGAGAGGGAACTAGGGAAGGCACCAAGCGATCTAGTTTTACCCAAGTCACTCCTCAAGGGGTATTATTACCAAGGAAAGCACTCACCTGTCAGAGTTGAAGGACACCAGGTTTTCTTCAGGACTCTGACTAAGAGCAGTATAGCCCTTGTTAAACTTCACTGACCTGAGGGAAGATGGGGGCAAGAGATCAAAGCATAGATAAAGCACCACATTTATAGGGAAAGCCAGAATCCATTCTCATATGGAAAAAGAACTGATTGCACCACTCCTGACTTCTACCTGATCACACAGCTACCACTAGGCATGTATCTGGCTACAGCTCCTCAGCATACACACTTCCCCACTTCCCCTACGGCTCCCAAAGAACAGCCAAACTTTCATCAGTCAGGAAAATTCACCACCACCACCCACTGTACTTAACTAGAGAACAGAAAAACCACAAGCTCTCATGGAAATCTCTTCACCTGAGTTTCTGCTCTATCTATAAGAGGTACTGAATAAGATCCTGTCCAACCCTCAGAGTTTACCACTCTGTTTTAAAAATATATATAAACAGCATTCGCTCTTCCCACACTGCTCTGCAACTTTACTCCTGGGGGACCCAGCCATTATGCTCCTCCCTAACTTAGTGAATGATTCTGTACCCTGACAATACTCATTACAAAGTCCTTGCCCTGACATCATCACGTTATTAAAAGGGGGCGAGAAGAAAAGGTCATTAGTATTCCTATTTTAAAATAGTGAACCTGACTGGTTGGCGTCAGGGGAATAGGAATTCCCCTTATTAAAGCTGGGCCTTAAACGTGAGTTCCCTGTTTCCCAGCCAGAGGACTAAGGCCTTCACTGGAAACTGCTTGTACAAAGGAGGTGGCGCCGGCTGACACCTTTTCCCTGAAGAGTCGGGGCGGTTCGGCGAGGCCGCCAGCATGCCTTTTTTCCGCAGAACCGACTTGGCCAGGTCCCGGTGCTTCTCTGCAAGTCAAAGGGCCCAAGTAAGCGGGATCTTCCCCACTCCGCCATGCCTCCCAAACGCCAGAAACCCGCTCTTGTCGAAGAGATTTTCAGGGACGGTAGCGGGCTGCAGGTGCCTCTCCCAGGTCGCCCCAATGGGACTTCAGAGCCCGTGCAGGCAGACAACCCCTCCGGCCGCACTCACGCAGTTTGGCCTGAATGGAAGGCATGCGCATCACCATGTACGGCCCCTGCTTCTCCACAGCCGCCCGGGTCCACTCCCCAAGTCGGGCGACTGCGCGGCCGCTTCGCCCGGAGAACGGCCCCGCAGCTCGTGCCACTTGTCCTGGGGCCCCGCAGGGCCGAGGTCCAGAGGTAGAAGCAGGTGGCGCAAGCCAGCTGGTCTCCTTGGTAGCCATCACCTGGCCCCGCCCCGCCGAGTGACTAACAAGCCCCAGTCCGGAAGGCAGGTGGTCTCGAGTTGAACAACATGGCGGTGCGCAGGCGCAGGCTGTACACAAGGAACCTCCGGTCCCCGCCTACTGGGGGCGTGGCCTGGTCATTTCTCCTTTTCCGGGGTTGGGCAGTTGCAGTCACTCCTTCCTGGCGCTCTGTGGTACCTGTAGTTGGTTAGGACCAAGGACTACCAAGGCAAGCTGCGTCTGGTATGCTGGTATTTATGGAGGGTCGCGAGTGTGCCCCGCAGTGTATTGCGCATCCTATCACCACAGCCGGAGGTCCCCAAGAACGGACACAGGAGAGCCTGGGTTGAACCGAAAAGAACTGTATGAGAAAGGGCGGTATTAGCACTCTTATCCAGAAAAGGCAACGGGCCCAAGAGAGGACCAAGGACTTTGCAGAGGTCACGTAACTAGAGGCAGTAACTGGGCTGATCGAACTAACGCCTAACCCACCTTACAGGAATAAACAACCAGCTTCATTGGGAGGTCAGGATTAAATATTAAGTTGAACCATATTTAAGTTGAACGCTGTGTCTGAGACCTTGGACGAGGCCAGACCCTCTGTCGGCCTCACTTGCCACATTTTAAAACGGAACCAACGTCACTACTCCTCGTACATCGAGCGACAAACAAGGGTAAAATAGGATGTAGAAAGAATGGTGAAAGTGCGCGCTGAGTCTGTGTGTGGTAGGTAGGGTATGGAGCTGTCATGGCTCATGACATCTCTGGCCCCCAAGGGATGTGATTGTAGTTGGCTGGAAAGAAGGTCCAGATCTTTGGAGGAACTGCCAAATCTCGTGAGGCTGTTCGGAGGCTAATGCAATTTTTTTTTTTTTTTAATTTATCTTTGGAGAGAGGGGAAGGGAGGAAGAAAGAAACAGCAACATGCGGGAGAGTGATTGGTTGCCCTCGCACGCCCACAGCAGGGGACCTGGCTCAAAACCCAGGTATGGTACAGAGAATCGAACTAGCAACCCATGGGTTTGTGGGAGGACACCCAACCCTCTGAGCCACACCGGTCAAGATGACTAATGCAACTTCTGAGCCCATAGGGCCACACAAACACTTAGACTATGCCTTACACAGCATAAGAGAAGAATTTAAAGCTGGAGTTGTTTTTGTTTTTGTTTTAAATTGCAGGCACAAAGGAATGCTATTTTGTTAGATTCCACCTCTGTTTTGACCTCCAGAAACAGTGGCTCAACTTAATATTTAATCCTGACCTTCCAATGAAACTGGTTGTTTCTCCTGTTATGTAATGAGGCTTAGACTTGGTCAACTTCACTAGGTTAAAAAAAAATTCACTAGGTAAGTGGTAAACCTGGAATTTGAATTCAGCTCCCTGTGGACTACAAAGAAATGGTTTTTCATGGCTACACTGTCTTAAACTGATGAGGACCTCACCGAAGACCAAAAAAAATGTGATAAAAATCCACTTGCCACTATATTTGCAGGAACTTGTAGCAAAAAAAAAGTCTGAGTGCCCTCCATACTCCTCCTGAATCTTTCATTGTTGGTGCTTCATTGCTATGTGATTGAACATAGACCCTAAATCCAGATTGTTTGCTCTACCACATACTGACAAATTATTTAACCTCCGTATATCTTAGTTTCTTTAGCTGAGAAATGGGGATGATAAAAATATCTATGTAATAGTATTGTGAGATTAAATTGTCAAGTGCATGAAATGGCACTTGGTGCTCAAGAAATGTAACCTTACAAAGATTACACAGTGTTCTAAGTATTAAGTGTTTATTCTCTCACTTGGCTTTATGCTCCCTGAGTGCAGACTGCCTTAGTCATCTTGTATCCTTTGTTCTTAGTGCAAAGTCATAGTAACACATATTTGTTGAATGAATGCCCTATTTCCCCGTTTTAACTTTTAGTTTATGTATTTAGAATCATAGAACTTTGGGGCTGAGAAGGATCTCAGAAATTACATAGTCCAAACTCATTTTATTAATGAAGAAATTTTGATTACCCAATTGTCCTGGTCTGGTAACGGACAGTTTTCTTTTCCATTTAAGATACTATGTTCAAGCCCTGGCTGGCGTAGCTCAGTGGATTGAGCTCAGGCTGCAAACCAAAGTGTCACAGGTTCGATTCCCAGTCAGGGTACATGCCTGGGTTGCAGGCCATGACCCCCAGCAACTGCACATTGATGTTTCTCTCTCTCTTGCCTCCCTCCCTTGCCTCTCTAAAAATAAATAAATAAAATCTTTAAAAAAAAAGATACTATGTTCACTAGGAATCTAAGAAAAATAAATGACTTCCCCATTCCCCAAACAAACCACAAAGAAAAAAAGCCTAGATTGAAGGGGATGAGTCTCTAGGACACTGCCCCTTCACACAGGGTACAAAAGCCCCTCTTTCTCACCCCATCTACTCAAACCCTAACCTAGAGTGACTTTGCCAGCCCCTCTGCGGGACGGGATCCTCAGCTCCTCCATTCAACAAAGCTTTATTTATCTAAGGTGTGGCAGGTGCTATGCCAGACCCAATAGGTCTAATGATGAACAGGACAGATGAGGCACCTCCCACTTTTTGTTTTTATTTATTTTGCTAATGATTGTTTTTATTGTATTTTTCCATTACCATTTAGTTCCCTTATACACCGTTGTCCATGTCCATGAGTCCTTTTACCCTTTTGCTGAATCCCTCCACTCCCCTCAGCTATCATCCTGCTCTTTATGATTCAGTCTCTAATTTGCCTGTTAGTTCAATTTGTTCATTAGATTCCACATGTGAGTGAAATCATATGGTATTTGTCTTTCTCTGACTAGCTTATTTCATTTAGCATACTGTATCAAATGGTAAAAAATTCTCATTTTTTACAGCCAAGTAATATTCCATTGTGTAAATGTCCCATAGTTTTATCCACTCATCTACTGATGGACACTTGGGCTGCTTCCATATCTCAGTGATTGTAAATAACGCTGCAGTGAACATAGGAGTGCTTATATCCTTTTCAATTAATGTTTTAAGTTCCTTTGGATATATTCCCAGAAGTGGGATCACTATGTCAAAAGGCAGTTCCATTTTTAATTTTTTTGAGGTATCTCCATACTGTTTTTCACAGAGGCTGCACTAATTTGCATTCCCACCAACAGTGCAAAAGGTTCCCCTTTCTCCACATCCTTGCCACCACTTGTTTGTTGATTTATTGATTATAGCCATTCCAACAGATGTGATATATCAATATGGTTTTAATTTTAATTTCTCTGGTAATCAGTGATGCTGAGCATCTTTTCATATATCTATTGGCCATGTGGGTGTCTTCTTTGGAGAGGTACCTCCTACTTTTTCATTCTCAGTCTTTTTTAATTAATTTTTGTTGGGGTGGGGTAGGAGGGTAGAGGAAAATTCTTGGCTGTTAGGACCACCCTGGCTTTCAGGCTCTCCTGTCCCAACTGGACCGTTACATCCTTTATCCTTCGCTCCAGTTCATGGGGATCCCACCCATCCCCTAACCTTTCTGTAGTCCTGGGGCAGATGAATCTTCATCATCAGTTGAGAATTCTGGTTCTGTTGCCTACTGGCAAGTATTTGTGATTAGGCAGAGGAAAGAATGGGGAACAGTGGTAAATTTTTTTATTGAGGTGTAGTTGACACAAAGCATATTAGTTTCAAATGTACAGCATAATGACTTGGTATTTGTATACACTGCAAAATGATCACAATAAGTCTAGTTAATATCCATCATCATGTATAGCTACAAAAAAAATTTTTGTGTGTGTGATGAGGACTTTTAAGATCTACTCTCTTACCAAGTTCAAATATGCAATATAGTATTATTAACTGTAGTCACCATGCTGTACATTACATCACAATTACTTATTTTATAGCTGAAATTTTGTACCTTTTGATCCCCTTCACCCATCCCCCTTCTCACAACCACCAATCTGTTCTCAGCATCTATGACTTAATTTTTTTAACATTACACACATAAGTGAGATCATATGGTATTTGTCTTTCTCTGTCTGACTTATTTTCACGTAGCATAATGCCTTAAGGTCCATCCATGTTGTCACAAATGGCAAGATTTCATTTTTTTATGGCTGAATAAGAATAATTCATTTTGTTCTTTTTAAAAAAAATTTAAATAATTTATTTATTTTTAGAAAGGGGGATGGAGGGAGAAAGAGAGAGAAAGAAATAATCAATGTGTGGTGCCTCTCAGGTGGTACCCACCAGGGACCTGGCCTGCAACCCAGATGTGTTCCCTGAGTGGGAATTGAACTGGCAACTCTGGTTTGCAGCCAGCACTTAATCCACTGAGCTATGTCAGCCAGGACTCATTTTGTTCTTTTATTGACTGAGTCGTATTATACTTTTTCCATTATCCATAGATAAACATTTAGATTGTTTCCATATTGTAAATAATGCTGCAATAAACACAGTGGTGCATATTTTTAAAAAGATTTTATTCATTTATTTTTAGAGAAAGGGGTAGGGAGGAAATAAGAGAGGGAGAGAAACATAGATCAGTTGCCTCTACCACACACCCCAACCAGGAAGGGCAGGCAACCCAGGCATGTACCCTGACTGAGAATTAATCTTTCGGTTTGCAGGATGATGCTCAGCTAACTGAGCCACACCAGCCAGGGCACATATATCTTTTTGAATCAGTATTATCATTGTCTTCAGATAATTACCTAGAAATGAAATTGCTGGGTCATCTGGTAGTTCTATACTGTTTTCTACAGTGGCTGCATCAAGTTACATTTCTACCAAGAGTGCACGAGAGTTCCTTTTTCTCCATATCCTTGTTAACACTTGTTATTTCTTGTGATGATAGTCATTCTAACAGGTGTGAGGTGATATCTTATTATGGTTTTCACTTGCATTTTATTGATGGTTAGTGATATCAAGCCCCTTTTCACATGCATGCTGGTCATCTGTATGTCATCTTTGGAAACATGTCTTTTCAGATCCTCTGCCCATTGTAAAATAGGGTTGTTTGGTTTTAATATTGAATTGTGAGTTCTTTATATATTTTGGATATTAACAACTTACCAGATACATTATTAGTAAATATTTTC